CGCTCGCGGCGCGCCCGGCGCTTCGGGCGTGGGGATGTGTCTGTGCGCGGGTGTCTGCCTGCGCGTACCCGTGTGCGGGGGGGCGGTGTGTGTGTGTAAAGCAAGAAGCAAGAAAGTGTGTAAAGCAAGAGGGCATCCGTGTGCCCGTGTCAGTGTAGTTACTTATACATTAATATTATACTGCGTGTGGTTGGTTTAACGGGAGTTTGGGCTCGTTGGGTTCCTCGGGTGTGACAAATGCTTTGCAGAGAGGGAGAAAGGCCAGGCTGCCCGCGCCCGGAGCCCGCCCGGCTGCGCGGGGAGAGCCCGGCCCGCCCGCCCCGCGGAGAGCCTCGCCGAGGTAGCGCAGCGCTGCTTCCTCGGAGCTTTAAGTTGGGGCTTCAAGAAAGGAGGCAGAATTAGCCAAACAAGATAATGAAGGTTGCTCATAATGGTTTTTACTGTGGGGAAGATTAACCAGTTGCTAATAATTGTATGGTCTCTAGGCCAGACGGTCCCTTTGATAAGTTAACATGTACTCCCTTTATGCTCCTGGTAGGGGGTAAACAAATGCCTGAACAAATACAAATACACATAAACACAAATGTGGAGAATAGCAGTATATGTCTTAGATCCAGATAATAAGTGTGGGTATTGTTATTTAGATGGCGCATACTGGGACACTTATCTTTTAGTACACTCCATTTTCTAACTGAATGCAGTGCTAATCGTGGGATTGAAAGCTATTGTAATTGTGTACCCATCTAAATGCTGACAAGAATATACAATTACATTGTTTGGAATTGAGTTTAATGTTCTCTGAATTTTATTAGCATTTATATTTACTTATGCATTAAAATTCCACACAAAAAGAGGTCAAAATACAAGAGTTATAGACATAAATATCAGACCCATCCACACCCTCGCTGCCATTTTTCCTGAAAATACTGAACAAATATAAAGATTTATACATAAATATCAGACCCATCCACACCCTCGCTGCCATTTTTCCTGAAAATACTGAACAAATATATTTTATTTTATTTTATTTTTAAAGGAAGTGATAGAATCTCAAATGAGCAAATAATGGGTTTCCATTCTAAGCAATGCCTTTTCTCCCTCTGGATTTTGCAATCTTTTAAAGCTTTTTTCATACCCAACTTTTTATTATTATTTATAATGTGCGTGTTACCGGAAAATCTTTCCACAGTATGCTTACCACCACACGATGTTTAAACACACATTATAAAGTCGATGTAATTGTAAACACTCAGAGGGATATAATTACATGTAGCAGATTTAGGAGCTAATTCTTTGCCTCTCTCTCTCTCTCTTTCTTTCTCGCTCTCTCTTTACTCTGCATTTTATCAACATAATTATTTTTTGACTGCAGACTAACACCCAGAAATTGACAGGCATCCATTATAGGCAGCAACTTGTTCACCAAATTGAAAAACAATGAACTGCGGGTTTATATGTGCCCGTTGTCATACAGAATTACCGGGGCTTTGTTCCACAAGAGGAAAAAGCTAATGGTTTTGAAACAGCAGGTGACAAAGGACATTCTTTTTTTTTTCCTCCCCCCCCACCTTTTTTTTTTCCCCTCCCCTCTTATCAGTTTGTTGATGAAGTCATTACGAACTGGGGCCCAGAATAGGGTTGGCCTTACTTTTAGCAGATAGACTTTTAATGAGTTCTATTGTGGAGACAGTCATGTTGATTTGCTTACATTTTTTTTCCCCCCCTTCACTCAGAAACTCCCAGTATTGAAAAGCTACTATCAAAGGACTGGAAAGACAAGCTTCTTGCCATGGGATCAGGGAACTTTGGAGAAATAAAAGGTAACGTCCTTTCTGTGCTAAAGCAAATTGAGAATGAATATACAGGTATCACTGGCTTTATGGCACTTACTTTGCTCTTCTTCCCCACCCCTTGAAACATCGTAATTTGGGGCTTAAATGAAATGTATGCTCTCCCATCTGTGATAGTATAAATAAATGAAATGGTATATTGCCCTAAGTGAATGAACTTACGTAAAGCTTTTGTTGCATATATCGTTCTGTGTTATACGAGGACACATCCTATTGCTGGATTGGGAAAAAAAGTCAATTCACATGTCAAATACAGGCTTATGTGGTATCAGAGTGTAGCAGAGCTCAGCTTCTGAACTCTGAGGGTGATCAGAAGTCCTTGTTAATTTTTGGACAGATTTTGATGATGGAGATTTTTTTTACTTTTCTGCGTGTAGGGGGGGGAAAAAAAGAGCAAAGTTTGTGTAATGATACCTCTAGGTACCGAAATTAGCCAGTGCAGATTTTAAAAGACAGCGTACAACATCTGTGCACTAAAGCATGTTCTTTTAAAGCTGTACTCCAGAAGGAAAATGACAAAATTTGACCACTCTCCAGCAGCAGTAGCTTCTGCTTTGCCAAGATATTTCCCCATTCTATGTATGTGAGGTCATTTTAGGGAACATGTAGTTGTTTGTTTTCATGTAATTTAATATTTTTATAATTCTTCCCCAGTGATTGTGATGAGGAGCCGACTCGAAATACGTGTGTGTCAAAAATTTTAGTTTACAGAGCAGCCATTATCACTCTGAAAAGAAACAGTGACTCCGATTCTTCTCCCATTTATATCAATGTACATCTGGAGTAGCAAAATCAAAGCCAATGTTGTTTTGGAAATGTGAAAGTAGAATGAGATTAAAATTAAACCCTTCTTTTATGTTTAGAAACTAGATTTCATTTCTCACCATTTTTGTTTGTTTGTTTGCTTACTAATGTTGTCCCTGATACCGAGATCCTCATTCAGGCAGGCTCGCAAACCTCATGCCTGACAGGTTTAAGGACCTTCTGCACAAGAGGTGGGCAGTGTTCAGTAAAGAATACAACATGACGTGCTCTGAGAGGTTAATGTGTTGGTACATGTGCAAAGATAGTGTTATTTTAATTATATGTGGCTTCCAGCTTGCCACCGATAAGCCACGGGCATTAGTTTGCGCTAGTCCACTGACTTACACAAGTAGGAAAGTATGCCACTTGCTTCCCCTAGCTTCTCCCTAAGAGGCTGTAATTCAAAAATGTATATTCATTACATATGTAGAATAACTTTAAAACAGAATATAGTGCTTCGGCCCCAAATAGGCTGAGATATTATTATTATAACAGAGGGCCAAACCCTGGGTTCTTTATTCCCACTGAGCACGTTTTCTCCGTGTGTGTAAAGCAACAGGTCATAAAGAGGAAGGGTAGCGACTGGGCTTATCTGTTGAGTTCTGGTTTTTAAAAGCATATTGTTTTAGAATAACATCATCGTCTGCCATGAACTGATGAATCTTTAAGACGTTTCAGGCCCAAAGTACACAGGCGGCTTTCGTATCCACTTTTGGGTGTGTATTTCAGCAGTTCTTGCATGTTGTCTGGAGCCTCTTTAACTCTTGATATGCTGGAGCCTTTAGAAGGACTCCCAGCGATTCTCCTCTGCCTTTGGACTCGGTAAAGCTGCTCTGAAAAGTGCTGCGCACTGAGAAGGCGGTCTGTTCCCAGTCCTTATGATCTTGTTCTGTTGGAGGGCAATCTTTTTTCTCCCTTCCTCCCTTTCCCTTTCACAAGTTAAACTTGAAAGCAGCAGCAGCAGCTATATGCTAGCACGAAAGAAATTCAACAGTCCTTTCAGTCTTGCCCGGGGGGAGGATGGGGAGCAACAGCACAGCCTCAAAGAAGAGTTTTCTTTGCTTTAATTTTTGTTTTTTAGCTTCATATTTTGAACACAAGTCGAGTTATTGTTCTGTAGCTCTGTTTAAAAGCCTCACATCTGAGGCTTTTTAGTGCAACTGTGGTTCTATGGTTGGGGGCATGGTTATTAGGTGTTTGGATCAGGTTTGGCAGTAAGCTGTGAAAACAGGCACTGGTTTATTTTTCCTACTGACTGCCGTGACAGTTGCAATTATTGTCCATTGTTCCTAGGTGGCTAGAAAGGAGGGAGGATACAATAGAGCATTGCCCTCTGGGGGTAAATGAATTTGACTTACAGGTTCTTGGGGGGTCAGGCAGGCTGATTATTTAGTGCCCAGGAATGCGGTTTTCATGGCACCGCCAGCCATGAGCAGCCAACAAACAATGGCTCAGCTGTATTGCAGCTGTATTTAGTGAGGCAACATGAAAGGTGTGCAAGTTGAGCTGTTTTATACTCACGTATGCGTGTACAAACACACATATATTATGCTAGGAAATGTTTTTGTCCTTCTATAGGAACGTAGAGTTATTAAGTTTTCCAGTTGTGATTTTTTAATTAACTTCTCTCTTTATTTGGCTTGGCAGCTGCATTTTTTTTCCCCCATTTCTCTATTAGTGATATTTGGAAACCCTGCACAAGTAGTGTCTTATTATTAATACATCCTGGAATGTGGACAGCACTAGAAGCTGTACTGCCCAACTGTCTTATGCACTGAATAGTTTTTTCCATTTAACTGTTCAAAATTTCATTGTGTTTTTCATTAGATCTGGGGGAGTTTTAGTACGTCATGTGCTCAAGTCTCAGCACTAGGCTACATATTGTTAATGCCCAAGTCTGTGTTATTACTATTGAGTTTTATTCTCTGGGAGAGATTAAAAGAAAGGGAGATGAAGCGGAAGACTTTATTTTCATAATTAGTGTTGCTTCTTTTAAGTTAGAAAGCAGTAATGTTTTAGTAAAGGTAGGGGAGTTGGTGAATGGCTGGAAGTCACCAGATTCCTGTGTTTTGTATTCAGTTGTTCCTCTTACTTGCTTTGTTACTTTCGGCAGTTACTTTAAGCCCCCCTTTCTTCATCTGCATGCCTGTAAAATGGGAGAACCATCACTGAATATCTGCAGAGGTCTACCTGCAAGCTTCAAGATCACAGTTAGAAGGATCTATATATGTCCAGTTACTAACGGAAAAGGAAATTTACTATTTCATTCCAGGGCTTGATTGAAAGGTACTACAAGGGAATACTCCTAAAATGGGGCAAAATCTAGAACCTGTCATATCTGTAGAAATTTTAACTCAAATGCCTCTGTTTAGAGAGGTACTGTGGGGCTAAATAAATAATACAAGTTTGGCACTGGAGATTTCTTAAGAAATTTTGTTTTCAGATCCATGGAATTTTTACTCTGTTCAAAACAAGTGAGTCTATAGTAAAACCCACAAAACATGCCGTTAAATGGAAATATTTTAAAATAAAGCTGTAAAACTATACATTGAATTGGTTAAAGCCTGTTCAAACTTACTTATATCCATCATATTCAAGAACAGGGCTCAAAAGGCCTCTGGATTATTCGTGGATAATGCAGTTTATTGGATTCAGTGGAGCAGAGAGAACTTCGGGTCTCAAACCGACCATCTACAGGAAGGAGACTAATACCCCTTTCTGCTTTCAGCGTAGCCGCCTGATACCTGTGCATTGCAGGGTGAAAGTGGTTGCTTTCCTCCAAAGCAACGTTACTGACTGCAGCAGATGCAGCATGTGGGGTGGACCGTTGATAGGAAAAGGTATAAGAAGTTTATTTCCCCACTCTTCAATGTCAGTGGCCATCCCTATACTTAGAAAATTAAGGTGAAACTTCTGTTTGACTGGTGTTGGGCCTCCTCTGAGCAGACTGAACTGAGCAGGGAACGGCGTTGGCCCCCCAGGTGGCCAGGTGCATCGTGAGGTGCACAGTCTTGCTAGCGCTCATGTGAGTGAGGAAGCTTTAGCCATGATGAGAACTCTTTTTAAAACTTCCCGGGTGTACACAAAGCCTTTCTGCTAATCTTGTCCATCTCTTGCTTATCGAGAGTTGTCAAGAAACAATAGTACATATTTTATATGTTCCCCACTTAGGGAGTTTTGAATAGGTGTGTGGAACAAAAGGCTAAACTGACTTTTGTTTCTAGTCTTTCTGAGTTGGTTTTCTGTTGAAGTGAAGGCATTGTTAACAGCGATTGCGCCTGAGTCTCTCAAGAAAGACCGGGCAAGCCTGAACCTGATATTTTTTTGTTGTTTGAAAATCCTTCTCTATTGTACAGGTTAGTTCCTAAACAACTCAGGTGAAGCGTTTTCTGCACTCACTGTGAAAGGGATCATCATTAGGGTAAAATCAGCTCTTTGTTGTAGCCACTTAAATCTAGATGACTCCAAAGACTGTACTGGAGTAACCACAGATTTGTGGGTGTAATTGAAAGCGAGATTAGCCTACCAGTCCTAATCTTTAATGCATAATAACACAGACATTTGTTTTGAGTGAGGAACTGGGTTCCAAGTTACGTGAAGTATCAGTGCAGGTATTATATCAAGCTGTGTTTGATGTGTGATAGAGCTGTGTTTGCTGAAGACTGTAATCTTGCTTACACGTTCAGAAGATGGGGCATGAGAGAGTAGGCAGTGAACGGTCTTACGACTGCCAATAATGGATAAAGAGAAATAATCCATTCAGTGATACTATAGCTCATCAGAGCCCATGAATTAAAGACATATGTTATGTAGATTCAATGTATGGATTAAAACGGATAATCTGGTAGGTGACACACAGAATCTTGAGATAAGTGGGCAATGCAGATTCGGTATATGGATTGTGACGGATAATTCCATTTAAGTAATGCTGGACAAGTTGAAGACACGTAAGCTTCGGGTAGTGCTCAGGTTATGTGCAGTAATCCAGTGAGTGACACTTTGGATCGCATAATCTGTAAACTGAAGACAAGGAAGCTGGGGATTCTGCATTTAGATGTGGACAGGAAGAAGGAGGGGGAAGCGGAGAGAGATTATTCATGGGGAATACACTGGGTTTAAACCTTTGACTAATAAAGCACAGATCCCCAGGAGATGTATGAAAGCTG